ACAGCATGAGGAGATGACTAATAAGCACAGTGCACGCATCCACATTGAGATGTGTCAGCGGTGCTAATAATTGAGGACCCGTGCAGCAGGTGTGTCTTGGCCATACTTTGTGCCTTCAATGGGTTACAAAGGAAAGTCTCCAAGAAGTGCGAGGGGGCACGAAGGCATGTCTGACCTCCTCCTCCGCAGACAACTTAATTTTAGGATATTCCTTTGGCCACGAGGAGTCCATTTAGTCAGCCGCGTGTGTGTGTGTGTGTGTGGGGGGAGGGAATGCAGCCTGGTCTACGTGTGCTGCGTGCTCATGCTGCTGCTGCCCTTCGCCGCCGTGGCCGCCTCCTACCTGCGCATCCTGGCGGCCGTGCTGCGCATGCGCTCCGCGCGCGGCCGGCGGAAGGCCTTCGCCACCTGCTCGTCGCACCTGGCGGTGGTCTCGCTCTTCTACGGGGCCGCCATGGTCACCTACATGCGGCCGCAGGCCTACCACTCCGCCAGGCAGGACAAGGTGGTCTCGGCCTTCTACACCCTGGTCACCCCCGTGCTCAACCCGCTCATCTACAGTCTGAGGAACAAGGAGGTGGCCGGGGCGCTGAGGAAGCTCCTGGGCAGGTGTCCCCGCGGCGGGGCACTGGGCTAGGTCTGCGCCCGGGAACCTGGATGCTCGACTGTCACTTTACCTGAAAGAAACAGACGAGCCCCGCTGAAATGTAAAAAGCTGGCTGAGCACAGTCGATCCGATTCACACGTCCACAGTATAGCGTTGTTTAGTTACATATGAAGCCCGCGGAGTCCCACATGTGAACTGAAATAAATTTTAAGCTCATCCCTCCCCCCCACACACACACACCCCCGGCTGACTGAATGGACTCCTCGGGCCAAAGGAATAATCCTAAACATTACACGTTGTCTCGAGGAAGTGTCGCGCCGCGGCCTCCGCCAGCCAAGGAAGACGCGGCACTGAGTTCCTTCTGACCGTGCTTAAGGGTGCCCTTCTTAGACTTACTGATGCGGGAAGACCCTGAGCACAAGCCCTCACACACTTACTATACTCTAAGGAAGGAGGGACAGTAATGGGGATCAGCGGTGTAAACAGCGCGCGAGGGTTACCACTTTGACTCGATAGGCCAAGGCTAAGATCCTTCATACGCATCCTTAATAGAACCGGCAGGACCTTACTCTGCGCCTGCGCTGAACTTGTCTTACTACAGGCGGCGCCCACGGCAATCGGCCCATGCTGTAATGGCGTTGTCACCGCGCCCCACAAGGAGGGAGGTCAGACATGCCTTGTGCCCCCCTCCCTTCTTGGAGACTTCCTTTGTAACCCATTGACAGGCCAAAGGTATGCAAGACAACCTGCAGGCCCTCAAATTCTACATAAGTGTAAGTTGTCAGCTGGCTTTATCCTGATCTCAAAGGACTCCTCCTGCCGTCGGCCTCCCCAGTCAGCCACTCCAAGTGCTTACTCTCTCCTGACACCAGCTGTCCTTATGATTGAAAATTCCTAAGCATTGTAGACAAAGTCGTCTTCACACATTGAAACAAGCCAGATTTTAACCACCTATACTGTAAGCCCTCATCCTGCATTTGAGCATGGCCCACTTTTTGTGCCAATACAGTGTGGCCCCACATATTGGTGTATAGACTCTGCCGTAACCCGTCATCTCTGAACTATAAACCAACTGTAACCAGCCCCACAGACCCTCCTGCCCAACGGCCCTCTTGAGTGGCTTCCCGGGTCATGGTCCTCAGAAATCTGGGCTCAGAGTGAACTCTCTTTAATATTATTTTACAGAGTTTGGCTTTTTTCCATTGACACACAAAATATGAAACTTGAGGAGGGCCACATGATTGAAGCTTATAGCATGCTGAACTATAGAAAAGAATTGGGGTTTGGGGCTTGGGTTGGGGACAGGGTTATGGGAGGGTGAGTGGAGGAAATACATGAAGAATAAAGTTCGTTCTTGTTATGCGGATAAATCTTTCAGGTAACAAAAGTTGTCTGCAGCTGCCCTGTTCCCGACTCAGACACTTTTACCAATGTAGATTTCCTTTATAGGTGCAATTTCTTTCACAAAGCGTAGCTTTGCAGAGGTACTCATGTGTCTGCAGTTTCTCAGACTAGCCAGCTCAAAATATGCCAAAGAAGTATATTTCAAGGTGGCATATTCTGGTCTCTGGTATCCTTTTTTTGGGGTGGTGTGTCCTGAGCCCCAACAAGGTGAAGACTCCTCTTAGGAAAGTGCAGGTAGGTATGTCAGGGGATGTCCCATGGGTGTCTCTTTCCTTCATTTAGCTGGGAATCTGGAGTATTTTCAGAGCCAGGGCTATGGGGAATGAACTTTGTCCTGAAGCCAATTATTAATTTTGGCTTTCTTCTTGCTGTGGAGCTTCTGTCTATTCCCTGGGCTCATTACGAGCTCAACTGGCTGTCCCAAGACATCTGCTCTGTAACTAGAGGCATAAACCTGACCACACTGCGCCCTGCACTCCTTCCTTAGCCAGCCGTCCATCATGGACCTGACCGCACTGCGCCCCACACTCCTTCCTCAGCCAGCCGTCCATCACGGACCTGACCACGCTGCGCCCCGCACTCCTTCCTCAGCCAGCCGTCCATCCTGGACCTGACCACACTGCGCCCCGCACTCCTTCCTTAGCCAGCCGTCCATGATGGACCTGACCACACTGCGCCCTGCACTCCTTCCTTAGCCAGCCGTCCATCATGAACCTGACCACACTGCGCCCCGCACTCCTTCCTCAGCCAGCCGTCCACCATGGACCTGACCACGCTGTGCCCCGCTCTCCTTCCTTAGCCAGCCGTCCATCATGAACCTGACCACGCTGTGCCCCGCACTCCTTCCTCAGCCAGCCGTCCATCATGGACCTGACCACACTGCGCCCAGCACTCCTTCCTCAGCCAGCCGTCCACCATGAACCTGACCACGCTGCACCCCGCACTCCTTCCTCAGCCAGCCGTCCACCATGGACCTGACCACACTGCGCCCCGCACTCCTTCCTCAGCCAGCCGTCCATCATGAACCTGACCACGCTGCGCCCCGCACTCCTTCCCTAGCCAGCCGTCCACCATGGACCTGACCCCGCTGCGCCCCGCACTCCTTCCTCAGCCAGCCGTCCATCATGGACCTGACCGCACTGTGCCCCGCACTCCTTCCTCAGCCAGCCGTCCATCATGGACCTGACCGCACTGTGCCCCGCACTCCTTCCTCAGCCAGCCGTCCACCATGGACCTGACCACACTGCGCCCCGCACTCCTTCCTGGTTTCGAACTCCTGATCTCGAGCAATCCGCCAGCCTCGGCCTTTCTTTTCCATTTTAGAAGTTTGTAATTGACACATCCTCAAACTTAGAGGTTCTTTCCTCAGCTGTGACCAGTCAATTAATGACCAGGGGCAGTCTTCATTTTCTGATGCCATTTTTCAACTGTAGCATTTCTTTTTTATTTTTTCCTTAGAATTTCCATCTCTGCATACATGACCCATCTGTTCTTGCATATTGTCTGTTTTTTTCCATTAGACCCTTTAACATGTTATTCATAGTTGTTTTAAATTCCTGGTCTGTTAATTGCCATACCCTTGCCACACCTGAGTCTAGTCCTCATGCTTGATTGTCTCTTCGAACGGTGTTTTTTGGCCAGGCGTGGTGGCTCACGCCTGAAATCCTAGCACTCCGGGAGGCTAAGACGGTTGGATCATTTGAGCTCAGGAATTCAAGGCCAGCTCTGAGCAAGCGTGAGACCCTTCTCTACTAAAAATAGAAAGAAGTTACTTAGACAGGTAAAAATATATAGAAAAAATTAGCCGGGCGTGGTGGTGCGTGCCTGTAGTTCCAGTTACTTGGGAGGCTGAGGCAGGAGGATCGCTTGAGCCCAGGAGTTTGAGGTTGCTGTGAGCGAGGCTGACGCCACGGCACTCTAGCCTGGACAACAAAGTGAGACTGTCTCAAAAACAAAAACAAAAAAGCCCTGTGTTTTTTGCCTTGTTATGCGTTCTGTTGAAAGGCGGAGGTGATGTGCTGGGCCAAGGGCTACAGCTGTGGTGTGGGGGTGTGGGGGAGGGGAGCCGGCCCGCAGCCCTGGGATTAGGTGTGGGCTCCGTGAGCCTGTGCCCTGGGCTAGGACCGTTGCCCGCCCTTAGGTGGGCCCGGACGGCTGGAGGAGGCTGGAGTTGGGTATTTCCCTTCCCCCAGGCCAGTTAGGCTCTTGAAGACATGGCCTGGAGCAGCAGAAGGTTCCGGTATGCTTTAAAATGGCCACTTTCCCCTCCCCCTGCTGTGACTAGGAGGGGTCACTGTGATCTTCACAGTGAGAGTCCCGTAGAGTTCCTGGAGGTGAGGTCGGGTGAGGTCCTCAGTGGGAACCCTTTTCGCTGAGACCCCCTGGAAGTTTCACCTGGAAGCCCTGCCCACACTGAGCCTCCAGCCCTTCATAATTACAGTTCGCATTTCCCGCCCTGGCTCTGGTTCCCACCCAGGTTTCCGGTAAGTCGAGGTTCTCCGCATCTGCCTGTGAGCCTCTCGTATTTTGGGGACAGTGGTTTTCAGTCTGTTCAGCTTTTTACCTGTTGGGGCCAAGTGATGACTTCCAGACTCCTTCCGTGCCCGGCCAGAAACTCTCTCTGGTCGTGATGTCCTGCAAGACTTGGGCACCGACGGGAGGGGCTTCTGGAGGGCGGGGGCTGGGCGCAGGCCCAGGGCAGCAGGAACGCCGGGTGGGGCTTCCCTTCCCCCAGTGGAGCTTTAGCAGGTGGTGTTGACCCAGGGGTGTGTGTGAGGGTTGGGGTGGGGAGGGGTAGGCAAGAGGGCTCCTTGTACACTTTCCCTTATATACAGCCTCATGTGCCCTGGTCTGTCTCCTTTTCACAAGCCACAATCCTGAAGGAGTTCGTTGTCATGGGGGGTGTTGATTCTTGTCACCCCTTTTATGGTCATGTCCCAAGCATCCAGTCCAGTGAGGAGCCCGGGAGGAGGAAATCCCAGTGTTTGTTCAATAGATGTCAGATGCAGATGCTAGATTCTCCTTTTGTGCCTTCAAGTTAAGACCCCTGCTTTGGCGCAGTGGCCTTGCTGAGTGCACATTAAAGCTGTCCACAACCTTTAAATGCTTAACCTGGGTCCCAACCAAGGGCTGTCTGGTTTAATTGGTCTGGGATAGAGCCAAGGCAACTCTTAAAGATACCCACATGAGTCTTTTCTGTTGTTGTTTTTGAGACAGCGTCTCACTCTATTGCCAGGGCTAGAGGGCTATGGCGTCAGCCTAGCTCACAGCAACCTCAATCTCCTGGGCTCAAGCGATCCTCCTGCCTCAGCGTCCCGGGTAGCTGGGACTGCAGGCAGGTGCCACCACGCCCGGCTAATTTTTTCTATTTTTAGTACAGACGGGGCCTCGTTCTTACTCAGGCTGGTCCGGAACTCCTGAGCTCAAACAATCCTCCTGCCTCAGCCACCCAGAGTGCTAGGATTATAGGTGTGAGCTGCCACACCTGCCCCTTATGCAATTCTGATAGGCAGCTTAAGTATGGAGACATTGCTTGCAATTGCCTCCTCCCCCCGCCCCACCCCTCAAATCCCAGGACAAGGGGAGTTAATTGCAGCCCACCCACTGGTTCAACTGGGGGAGCAGCAGAGTTCCCTACAG